GTCTGTCTCTGCTCCCCTGCTAAATGTTAGTCCCTTCCTTCCTATCCCTCTTCCACCCCCATTTGTAGGGAGTATCAGCCTTTCCACTGTGTTCCCCCACAAGCATTCCATGCTCTCCCTTTTCTCCTCTCCCAAATACCTCAAACCAGAGAAGGCAATTTATTTTTTGTGAAAATCCAAATTTCTTAGTCAAGGTATAGGTCTGTCTCTGCTCCCCTGCTAAATGTTAGTCCCTTCCTTCCTATCCCTCTTCCACCCCCATTTGTAGGGAGTATCAGCCTTTCCACTGTGTTCCCCCACAAGCATTCCATGCTCTCCCTTTTCTCCTCTCCCAAATACCTCAAACCAGAGAAGGCAATTTATTTTTTGTGAAAATCCAAATTTCTTAGTCAAGGTATAGTCAAGATCCAGATGCCAGAGAAAATAATTTTAAAAAAGAAGTTAAAATGATTTTGGGGTCCATTCAAAAACATCTGGTAGTCCAATTTTGGCCTGCAGCTATAGGCTAACTACCTCTGTAAACCCTGCATCTTCTTTCCTTCCTTCTCAGTACCTCTCTCCCCCTCCCCCCTCATTACATATGAGCTCCTTGGAGAGGAGCTGTCTCCAGTACTCATCTGGTTGGGGTCTACTGGCTAAAATGGACAGGGGTGGATTAACTCAATGCTGGGACAAAATTCCCTCATGTCCCCACAGGTGGCTTCCCCTGGCAGGCAGTCACCAAAGCTTCCCATATTTGTTGTAGCTCTTGATGCTATTGTAATGCCGACAGGTGGAACCAAACCTGGGACCTCTGGAGCTTAATGCATGAGCCTCTGCAGCATAAGCTAAAAGCCAGCACACCTAGCAGGTGTGTGGGTTACATTATTGTTAAGCAACAGAACAGAGAGAACATTGACCACTGGAATGGGACAAGGTGTGGCAGGCTCTGGGAGGGCTCTCTGTCCCTGTAGCAATGATGAGAAGGAAGAGCAGTGCTGGCTGCCCAAATGCTCTCTCAGGTTTGGCCCTGCTGCCTCTCTGTCATGACAAGGGAGGATGGAGTCAAGCACCACTCAGGTTGGGTCGTATCCACAAATTGGGCCCTCAGCCTATGCTTAGATTGCCTAGACCTTAATTTGATCCTGACATGGAGCCTGTGAACTGCTCAGGAACTTCTGTGAACTTCATCCAACCCATCAGCCAAGATCCCTTGTTCTATCTGGCATAGTCAGGTTTGGACATAGGACCAAAGGGAGGGGGGCTAACGAGTGTAAATAATAAACAAGTATGCATATGACAAAAATGTGCCCTCATTGTAGTGGCTAACAGCCTTTGTAGTGGCTAACAGTGGCTAACTAGTAGGAACTGTTGCCTACTAGTGTTTTGATTCTGAGAGATACCTCAGTGAAGCCCCTTCTAATAATAAATGTAAAAATTGCAGCATTCCTTCAGAAAATGGATTATATAATTGAGAGATGTTTCAGCAACCGGGAACAGAAAGCAGGCTTCATTTTTCCCCCATATATGGCAAATGAGCCTAGGAGTGATAGAGCATGAATTGCATCCTACTTCATTGGACCTTGAATGCAGAAGTGATCATCAGTTCTATCATTGTCCAACAAGGGAAATACAGAAGTTGTATTGTTGTGGGCTGTTTTTTAATTTGGCCTCAGGCCCCTATGCATATCAACCAGGCCAAAAAAGGGGCACTTATCTGTTCAGACTCCAACTCTTTATGCTTCAACTTTTACTCATCCCTTCTGGGTGTCCATTGTTTCTCATTCACTTATTTTTCTCATTCTTCATGCCCTTCCTCCCCCCTTTGCATTACTTATGACCCTCTGGCCTAAGCCACCATGGAACACTTCACTTTGTTTCTTCTGATACTAACCACTCTTCCACAGTCCTAGCCTGGGAAGTGTACAAAAAAGAACTGTGTGTGCATGACCTTGTCTCAGACCTCAGACAGCAGCAATGCTAAGAAACTGGAACAAGATTCTGAATATAGCTGAGCAGATCCAGCATCCCACTTCACCATGCTGTGATGATCTTTAACCGGCTGAAGCAAGGGTCCCCCTCCATAACTGATCTGTGTAAACTCTACACTGAGTGTTCAAAAACTCAGTGTTGTGGCTCTTCTGAAACTGCTTGGATTGCATGGTGTGTCTGGAGGGGTTCTCCCACCCCCACTCATGAATGTATCACAGAGTAAATTTTCACATATTATGTGCCCTGGGCAAAAATATAGCTTTTCTTTGTTTTATAATTAAACCACATTTTACCTGTAACAATAAAATAGCATCTTTTTTTAACAATGGAAAGTGTTGAAGAGAAACATCAAAATGTTTAATATGTTTGCAAAAAAGTGTCAGAAATGAGACATTGCAATGGGTTAGCAAGCAGAGTTAATTTCTGAGACATGAGCTGTGGTCACATACATTCTTCTAGGATGCTCAGAAATGGGATTTGAATCTGAGGCATTTGCCCAACTGATTATTCTCTCTGATTTCTGCCTTTATTGAATCTTCATTTTCAGTTAATGACCCTCGTTGGCTGCTTTTGGGGGAAGCAGAGTGCGAACACTGATTTTTTTTTGATAAGTCACGAACTCATTTAGTTATATTGGGGTGGGAGTGTTGGAAGCAGAACCCTCTCTCAGCAGCTGATTGTGAGTTATCTAGACTGGTTATACCATCTACCAGCTATGAGAGTTTCCTCTCCCCCCTGGCTGTATAGTTCTTGAGCTTACACTTGTTTGGAAACAGGTCAGGTTCTCAGGTTGTTTACTATGGAAATGAACTATGTGACCTCCTGCCTTCCCTTCCCCCAAGCACTCCCTTCAGCTAATTTTATCCCCACAGGCATTGAGAAGACAGATGCTCCATTCATTGCCTAGTTCTAGGGAATATGAGAAAAACATGGTAAGCTCTACTGAGATGGGTGTATACTCTCCAGTCTGGCTGTTCCCTGGCTTCCATCCTCTCAAATCATTAATTAATTCAACCACAAGGATCCTCTTATTTCCTTCTTAATTTCCTTTTTGCATGCTCTTCAGTTTAAACCCTGACACTGATTTATTGAGTGATCTATTAGGATGTAAAATGTGCTGTATTATCCATCTCAGGGCCCACATGTATCCTATTTATTTAAACCCACCCAGGAGATTGCTTTATCTTAGCTTTAGTGACTGACTGACCCTAGTTCCAAGAGCCTGGAAACAGAGAGAGCGAGAGAGAGAGGGAGAAAGAGGGGTGGTGGGAGAAAATTGATAAAAGTCCTGAAAGAAGAAAGGGGAAAAAAAAGAGATCAGTGGCAGTGAGGATTCCAGTCCTGACCTAAACCAGCATGGCAATACAGAAGAATTATTATTATATGAGGGCTGGAGGCATTTATGTTCCAAGTGTATCTGAAAAAGTCCAGCTATGCCAGAAGCTTCCCACCATGTGTGTAGTTCCATTACACAAATGTAATGATCTCTTACTAGTAATATTTAGGGATTTTTAGCTCTTCCAAAGTGATATCTTGTTTCCAAAGACTCCTTTCTCTTCTTAGATGTTGGCACAGTCAGTGAGAGGAATTAAACCAGAATATTGGAAGCCACAGGTTTTATCTCTGTGTTTGGATCACTAAAGCCACTTCGTCCAAGAGTACATTTAATCTTTTTCTTTAGCCTTTTAAGTGAAAGTTGTGTTGGCAAAAGAGGCTGGATTGACAGCCATAGAGACTTAATTGTCT